GATGAACCCAAAGCCAATCCCGAAGAATATGTTGCCTACAAGAAGCATTATGACGATGCAACCAAAGTGTCTTGCATCATGGTCGCAACCATGTCTCCCGAATTGCAAAAGTACTATGAGGACTACTGGCCCTTTGAGATGAACAAGGACCTTATGGAAAATACCATAAGTGAGCTCGTCAAGAGATGTTCGAGGTAGTCAAATCACTCATGGCTTATAAGATGAAGTATGGGGACTCGGTTGTCAGTCATGTGAAAAGAATGCAAAGCTACATAGAGAATTTGGTCAAGCTCAACATGCAGTTTGATGAGGAATTGGCCATTGACATGGTCTTGAACTCATTACCTGATTGTTATGGTCAGTTCATCCTAACTTACCATTTGAACAACACTGAGCAGACATTGGCCCAATTGCGCAACTTGTTGCAGACAGCTGAGGCGGGAATGAAGGGTAAAAGTATACCCTCCACTCATGCTGGTTCCCCCGTCTTGGCTATTGGACAGGGAAAAGGGAAAAAGAGGAAAGGTCCTCCTAAGCAAAATTGGAACGGAAAGGCCCAAGATGGGTCATCTGGAAGTGGCTCAAAGGCCAAGCCCAATGCTGTCATTCCCCATGTTTCTGATCCAAAGGATGCTGATTACTTTTACTGCAATGACAAGGGGCACTAGAAACGAAGCTACCCGAAGTATCTGCAGGACATGAAGGATGGAAAAGTGAAGCCATCTTCAGCAGGTATTTACACTATTTCTTCTAATTACTCATAATCTTCTCGTTCTTGGGTCCTTGATACAGGATGTGGTTTTTACATCTGTTCTGATATGCACGGGCTAAAAGAAAGTGAGGAGGTGGAGCAAAGGAGGATAAACTTGATCATGGGAAACAGAAAGTCTTCACCAGTAAACAAGATCGGAGTTTATTAACTTTTGCTTAGTAATGATGTTAGATTAGATTTATTAAATTGTTGTTATTCATCAGAAATGACGCGAAACATTATTTCATTTCATGCATTGTTCAAACAAGGTTTTAAGTATTCTTTTAATAATTTGAACGGTTCAATTTCTGTTTATAAGAATGGCAATTTTGTGTTTGAAGCTTTACCTTGTGATGGTGTGTATGAAACAGTGACTTGTGTTGATAGCTTAGGTAATAGTGTGTTTAGTATTGAGTTGTATAATAATGTAGACAAGGCGTGCTTGTGGCATTGTCGTCTTGGACACATTAACAAGAAACGTATAGCCCAACTCCAAAAGGACGGAGTGTTGGGATCATTTGATGTAAAATAAGATGATATGTGTGAATCTTGTCTTTTGGGAAAGATGACAAAAGCACCTTTCATGGGATCTTGTGAAAGAGATGAAGGTTTGTTGGACCTTATACATACTGACGTGTGTGGACCCTTCAGATCAACCACAAGAGATGTTAATCGATTCTATGTGACTTTCACTGATGATTATAGCAGATATGGCTATATCTACTTAATCAAGCATAAGTCAGAAACCTTTGAAAAGTTCAAAGAGTTTAAACGTGAAGTCGAGAATCAATTGGGCAGGAAGATAAAGATACTTAGATCCGATAGAGGCGGAGAGTATCTTAGTATCGAGTTCAACGACTATCTAAAAGAATGTGGAATAGTTTCACAATTAAATCCTCCTAGGACACCACAGTTAAATGGCATGGCTGAGAGGCGTAGTCGAACCTTGTTAGACATGGTTCGTTCTATGATGAGTCATTTTGCACTTCCTATGAATTTATGGGGGTATGCCTTAGAGACAGCCACCCACATCCTCAATCTTGTCCCCATAAAGAAGGTTGCCAAAACACCTCATGAGAAGTGGACGGGGAAAGTTCCCTCGTTAGCACATATTAAAGTCTGGGGTTGTGAAGCTTTCGTAAGACAAGAGACTCACGAAAAGCTACCAACGAGAAGTGAGAAGTGTATTTTCATTGGTTACCCAAAACAGTCTTTTGGATATTTGTTCTAAAGATCTAGTAAGAACGTGGTTTTTGTAGCATGAAGATGAGTCTTTCTAGAAAGAGAGCACATATTCAAAGAGGACAATGGGAGCACCATTGACCTTGAAGAAATTCAAGAGACAACCAATGAAGGAACCTTAGAAGATACTAGCACTCAACCATAGGAAATAGTTCCTATTGAACCAGTTGATAACTCATTACCTCTTCAGAGATCTACTAGGGTTAGTGTGACACATGAGTTATATGGTTTCCATATTACTTCAGACGGTGAGACATATATCAGTGATAGGACACTGGTAAATCTGGATGAACCAGCTAATTACAGGGAAGCAATGGTAGGCCCAGAAGCTTCCAAATGGAAATAGGCAATGGACAGCGAGATAAAATCCATGTATGACAACCAAGTGTGGAGTTTGGTTGATAATGTACCAGGTTGTAAGACACTTGGGTGCAAAGGGATCTTCAAAATGAAGACAAACATGAATGGAAATGTGCACACATTCAAGGATCGACTGGTTGCAAAAGGTTTCACTCAAACCCCAGGGGTTGACTATGATGAGACCTTTTCACCAGTAGCTAAGATTAAATCTACCAGGATATTGCCCGCCATAGTTGCCTTTCATGACTATGAAATCTGACAGATAGATGTCAAGACTGCTTTCCTCAATGGGAAATTGGCTGAGGAAGTTTACATGAATCAACCATCACTACTACAAAAACACCCTTTAGCGACATGCAATGCGTGTCGTAAAACGCTCAGACGACACGCAAATGCGTGTCAAGGAAGACCCTATCATAACGAAAGACGACACGCTTTACGCGTCGTCTATTTACGACACACATTTACGATGCGCAGTTATGACACGCATTTACGACGTTCCTTTATGACATGCAATGCGTATCAAGGAAGCCCCTGTCATAAAGGAAGACGACACGTCCTCACATGTCGTAACCTTACGACGTGCATTTATGACACGCAATGCGTATCAAGGAAGCCGTTGTCATAAAGGAAGACGACACACATTTTTATGTGTCATAATTTTAAACGTTTTAAATAAATAAATATATATATATATATATATATATATATATATATATATATATATATATATATATATATATATAGATACTAATTTTCAAATTAAATAATACAATGAAATTATCATAATACAAAATAAAATACCATACACAAGAAAGATAACTCATTTCACAAAATATCATATGTCAAATACAAATATTAATATCCAATGGTAACTAAATGTAATAAATTGCTAGTATTGAGTACTATTTATTATAAAAAAAACAAAACACAACATTAAAAGGAACTCGTGAGTAAGTTCTCTTTTGATAGTCTCCATGGAAGCGTTATGTCTTGCAACTTCACCACTTGAAGATGCATCAACTCATCTAGGGTTGAAAGAAGCTTAGATGAAAAAAATAGCAAAGTAAGCTGTTATTTACTGTATTTGATCTTGAAAGCAATTAAGAGATAGGTGGTAGGGTAAGAATACTTACAGAACTTGCAGAGACATGGTGTTAGTTAATTGTCAAAAAGTCAAAGAATGATGTAAGTAAACATATAAAAATCACAACTATAAGAGTTCATATTAAACCTTTGTACTTTGAAAGTACATTGCTATAATTAGGTGGCCAAAAATAGCAATGTACTTTCAAACACAGTCTCATTTAGCTTGAAACAGTTCTAGGTGGGACAAAAAATAATCAAACAAACATAAGGCAATGGTAATCGAGCTCAAGACCTCCATGCAAAGGTTCTATTATATAATATGTTAGATTGTAAATTTTTCATTATTATCTGAGGAAAGGGTAAAGTAGTAATTTGTCCGTGAATTCATTCAGCCTTCAAGAAAAAGTTTGTGACCTGGAGGGGGAGGAATTTATTCTGCGCCAGCAAGCCGTGATGAAGTCAGGTTCTTTGATGGTTGATTCTTTAATGGATAACACAATATAACATACAGAAGAAGATATGATGAATTAATCTGTCTTAAACATTGGAAATTATTTCTTTTCACAAACAGGTTTGTATTTTACTTTACATCATTCTGAGTTACTCTTGTATAGAAGGATTCTTACCAGCAGAAATAAGGATAGAATTTACATAAATTGCAATAGCATTCACACCTCCAAATTGTTGTAATACCATAAGTCCAACTCCAATCTAAAATACAATTATCACAATATGAATTAAATCCTATGACAAATAAATGATATTATAACTGGAAAGGCTTACAATGAGAGATTTCGAATACTCTGGTTGGAATAAATCCAAGACTCTACTTTCTGACAGTTGATATCAGATAACAACTTTATATGCATAACTCTAAAAGACAAAGAATAGGTTAAATGCAATAAATAGCAACTACTTTCATTTATTTGTTTATTGTAGAATTCTACTTTCATTTCTTCCTTTTACAACATTATAATTTGAAGAAATGGGCAAAATAAAGAAAGAAGAAATGGGAAAAAATCCCGAAGTTGACCTTCAGGTGCATGGTTTTTTGGTGTGTGGTGGGATGCACATGCGATATGTTCTTGATAATAACTCTGGATTATTACCAGTAATCAAGTGGATAGTGGAGGGGTATTTGGTCTTTTGAATAAAAAGAATAGATGAATGTTTTGCAAGAGCAAGACCAACTCTCAGGATAGGAACAACGTGGAATTAAAGAAGGGCTTATTAGTTAACCAAATTTCACTATTAAAGACAACTTTTACCATTATTAAGGATGAAATTACAGATTGGAAAGTACCAATCTCAAAACTCCAGTTGCTTTACTCTAGAAAACTATCACAAAACAATAAAGATCTACCTTCTTGAAGTAGCCCACAGACAATGGTGATTACAAATTACGAGTGTGTACCTGGTTAGCAACCAAATGATCAACTGAATTAACACAATAACATAATAGTGTTTCACAGATTAATCATTTGAGAAATTACAAAGAAATTGCGAGATTAAAGAACCAGGAATCCTAAAATCAAAAAAGTTCCAAAATATACCAATTTCAAGCATTCGAGTTGGTGGTCATAAATAGCGATTTGGCTTTCATGTACAACAAGGAGATGGCGTTGATCATTATGGAATTGAACTTTGGTTTCTCCAACAAGTTAGGATGGATGGCCAGGTGGCGACTGTATGTTTCTTGATTTCCTCTTCTCCCATCCATTAATATTCCAGATACATAGCTGCAATCTATTCAAAACATTAAAAAAATAACAATAACAAATAAATTAATCAAGTATTATTTTAGACTGCATGTTATCTAACAAACACGAAAAGATCTCCAAGAAAACAGAGATTTGAACTCTAATTTTGATCACTACTTGCCTGAGCATCAGCTCCAGATGAAACGAGTGCACTTAAAGTCTGTGAAAAAGCAAGTCCTCTAATTTGTTTCTGGTGACCTTTCAGCTTCACTTTGACCTATTAAATACAATAATAACTTTTAAATATAACAAAGAATCCAACAGCTGCACATGCCTTTCCATCAACCTCAGCTTGTGGTTTCTGCAGATCCACAAAGCTTTAAAATAAGAAAAATCATCAGTCATCAAAAATCTATCTAGATTAACAAAAACTATGAGTTAGTTACAGTTTACCTACTGTTGATTAGTTTCATGTATCTAAGCCTTTGTCTACAAGCTCCAATAGCACCAGATGACACCAAGATAACCTTAAATCCTTGAGAATTTAGTGCTTGGATCAGTAATTAAGAGATAACTGTCATTATGAGCATTCGAAGAACACAACGTTCAATTTTAAATTAATAGAATCAAAACTATGCATGATCAAATACACACAAAATCAACCATACAAATAAAAGTTATAACACAAAATTCCAAAATTTGGGAATGCCACATGCAATACCGAAAATCAAATAATTTGGGGATCTGATAGGAACAATAACCAACAAATAAACAAGGAAATCGAAAGAGGGATTTGAAAGAGGAAAAGAAGATTCAATTTCAGTAAAATGGACATATACAATGAAACATATCAGAGAAGATAACCTAATGGTTAACCTTCTTGCCTAATTGAGAAGTCTGCGAATTGGGCCCAATCAACTGATGGGTCGAATCATGCGATAGGTCTAGGCTATAGTCAAAAATTAAATCGGGTCCAGAAACAGAGGTCGATGTCTTACCATTCACGACTGGATTTTCTTCCGAAGCGGTGATGACGGTGGCTACGTAATAGGAAAGCGCGACTCGTGATCGTTGGGTGACGATCTCCACAACATCGTGTTCTTCTCCCTTGAAGTCCAATAACGATGATGGTTCCCTAGGGTTCCTGATGTCAATTTTATCAATCTAATCAGAGAACTTTGTATTTGTCTCCCTTAGATCTGCCCAAACCCTTGGTTAAGTGAGGAATGGAGTATACCGTTGGGGTTAATCACCAGAGGAAATGTCGACGTCTGTAGTAGACCAATGGCACAACTTTGATTTAGCCTCCTGTTTGTGTTGCTTTCCTTGAGATTCCTAGAATCGTTGTATCATCTTCTCAATAGATTGAGGCATTTCATTGAGTAGCTCTTTTATGGCTCTTGAAAGGTCCTTCATCTATTTATATTGAGCACAAATTCATTACCGAGATACATTTACACAACCCTAAACCTTCAATGGCTTTTTTGGTGGTTTGGTGTTGTCTATAGCTACCGCCGACTTTGTCGGACGTTGCAGAGAGCACTCGTGTAGTAATACCCTAAATCTCTGGCTCTCTAAGCGTAAGAAAAGAAGTGCGATTTTGATGGAACCCTAGCTTTCTGTCGGTTCTTTCAAGGTTGAAGCAGGAAATGAGAAAGAGTTAATTAGGTCATGGAAAAGAGAAGGGGTTTTCGGCTGGTAGAAGATGAGAATAAGGTAGGGGTTTTAACTTCTTGGGATTCGATTTCCCTCCTTAGCTACTAAAGATAGAGAACACACGTTTGATGAAAACTTTATAAAATGTCATGCTTAGACGACACACCTTCTATGCTGAGTGCTCTCTGTGTTTTTTTTTTTTTTTTTTTTGTTATTACACTATTTTTAAGTGCACGCAAAAATGCATGTCCTAAATCCTTCAAATTTTAGAAGAGATGACATTATTTTTAGGACACACGATTTTATGTATCGTAATTCACTACATGACATGTTTTGTGCGTCGTTAAAGGCCTATATTCTAGTAGTGTAGAGGGTTTTGTTGATGCAAGATTTCCCAATGGAGTGTGCAAGCTTGAGAGAATCCATTTATGGATTAAAACAAGCATCTCACAGTTGGAATCTTTGCTTCCATGAGAAAGTCAAAGAGTTTGGTTTCTCTAGGAGTGAAGATGAGTTTTGCGTGTATATCAAGGCTAGTGGGAGTATAGTAACTTATATGGTGTTATATGTCAATGAAATATTACTCATTGGTAACAACGTTCCGACCTTGAAAGATGTTAAGTCTTGGCTTGGAAAGTGTTTTGCCATTAAAGACCTTGGAGAAGCTGCCTATATTTTTGGGATTAGAATATTGAGAGATAGAAAGAAGAGACTAATTGGACTTAGTCAGAGTACATACTTGGACAAAGTACTAAAAAGGTTTAATATGGAAAATTCCAAGAAGGGAGAGCTACCTATCCAGAGTAATACCAAATTGAGTAAGACTCAATGTCCGAGTACGGATGAGGAAATAGCTGACATGAGTTGTGTGCCTTATGATTTCGTTGTCGGATCGATCATGTATGTTATGACATGTACTCGCCCTGATGTGTCCTTTGCTTTAAGCATGGTCAGCTGTTATCAGGGAAATCCAGGTAGAGCTCATTGGATAGTGGTTAAGAATATACTCAAGTATTTGTGAAGGACAAAGGACTGGGTTCTTATCCTTGGTGGCAGTGATACTTTGAGAGTAGACGGTTGCAGTGATACCAGCTTCCAAACGGACAGGGACAACTTTCGTTCTCAATATGGATGGGTATTTCTACTGAACGGAGGAACAGTTACTTGGAAAAGTTCCAAGCAACATACAGTGGATGATTCTATTTGTGAATCAGAGTACATATCAGCGAGTGAAGCGTCGAAAGAAGCTGCTTGGTTGGGAAACTTCATCGGAGATCGCAGAGTTGTTCCAACCATTCAGGAGCCTATGGGACTGTTCTGCGATGATAAAGGAGTAGTTGCCTTAATAAAGGAACCCAGAGATCATGGTAAAACTAGGCATATTGACAGAAAGTACCATTTCATCAGACATAGAGTGGAAGAAGGCTATCTTGTCATAAAGAGGGTATCATCTGAGGATAACCCAGCAGATCCCTTCATAAAGGGTCTGAGTAGGGTTAAGCATATTCAGCATGCTCGGAGCATTGGACTGAGATATGATATATTTTTTAGCAGTTAGCTTAGTTTGTTCTGAAACTTGTAACAAAGTAAATGTAATTCACTTTTGGTGATTAAATGATAAAGTATTATTTATAATTTTGTTAACTTCCTTTTATCAATTGTTTATTATTGTGTTTCTTTTTTGCATGTTTTACTTCCCGAATAATATGATTATTCAAACTACATAGTCGTTCGTACTTTTAGAAGTAAGTAATGAATTAAGACTGTCATGAATAGGATTGCAGATTGTCTAAGGGAGTTAGACATAGCAATAGAATTGCTGCAATATTCATGAGTACTTAGAAATGGAGATTTGAGTATTGGATAAACACTCGCTTAGAGTATTACTTCATGGAATTCATCACGAGTAATATTGAGGCGATAATATCTTATAATCTTGAAACGGAGAAATATGAGTTGTAATTTACAAGTCGGTTATGCATTGGTGATACGAAAACGCATCAGTAACTTGGTGTTATAAAACGTATTGCTATGTATAGTTTAATAAGTAAAAGATAGAAGCATATGAGTCAAAGTTTATTCGTTCCTTTTTCCTAACGGGAAAAGTGATATCTGTTGACCCTCGATGATTTGGTGTTGACTTGTGTGCTGGGCCCAGCAAGGGCTAAATTGATGTGTTCAATTAGAAGTCCTATATCATCACAAAATCAGAAATCGGGAAATATAGATTATGGAAAAACAGATTTATTGCATTCCATGTCTTATGCTCGGGGATATCTTGCAGAACGAAGGATTATATGATCACTTATCTTAGGACACATAACTGACTGGGTTTGAGTTCGGCAGCAACTTTTGGAAGCTACAATTTGCTGGTCGATTTAGAGGTCATACTAGTAATTATAGTTACAAACTTATCCAAGTGGGAGACTGTTGGATTAGGTGCCTAAGCCCATAAATATAATTGGTATGTACTTGAATTGATAGCAGCACAGTCCTTTTGGGTTGCCCTCAAAGCCAGCAATTGGACATGGAAATTATGAAAAAGGGAGAATTAATTTATTATAAGATTAATAAATTAATATAAATGATTTATTAATGTGTTCTGAAAATAATATATTAATTAGAAATCATAATATTTAATTAATAGTTAGCCATAAATTAATTGGAATTAATTTTGGGGTTAATTGTATTAATTGTAAAGTACATGGACTAGTTTGCAATTATTAAATAGTTGGAAGTAATGTTCCAGAACCTCCTTGGAGGAGGTGGAAGAAATTCATAGGCGAAACCCTAATGAATTCGTCCAAGGCCTTGGATAAAGCTTCTGGATTTGCTTAGGCCCTAAGCAGGGGAATCCTAGGGTTATCCCTTAAACCCTAGCTTTGGGGCTAAGTTACCTTGACTATTTAAGGATCCTCCTAGCTCCTAATTTCGGCCATCCCTTCCTTTGGAGAAACCTTGGCCGAAAATTGCATCCCTCCTCTCCTCTCTCTATAGTTTCCTTCTTGCTAGCTCTTGGGTGTCATACCATTAGAGGCATTACAATTATGGTTGTAGGCTTCCAAGAAGATCAAGATCTAAGGATTACCAATTGTTTACTTTAACAATTGAAAGGTATGTGATTCTAAAACCCTAATTAGTTATTTTTGAAAATAGCCTCTTCCCTTAGGGTTCTTGTTTTGCAATTGAAAGTTACATGTTTAAAAGTTAAAAAATAGATCCAAAGTAGGTTCCGTGTGAACATAGCAATTGTTTTTCTAGTTTATTTGTTTTATCCAAAACCCATCACTAATAACTTAAACCTCGGTCTTCAGAACTCCAACCACCCCATAACGTCTATCGGGTAACTGCCAAGCTAGGGGTGTAGGGTTCTGAACCTCGCTGAAAATCAGAAGGGGACAACGCGCTCTGATATGGCCCTCCTTGCCGCAATGGAAACAAATCTGCGTACTCTGTCTACAATCCCTACCGAAATGACCCTTCTGGCCACACCTATGACATACAAAAGATCGGCACCTTCCATCGTGAAACTTCCCACACTTGACACATTCAGAACTCCTCATCTCAATTGGTCCTGAACTCGAGACGGCGGACTAGAACTGCTTGGCCACCGACTGTAACTACCTTGAAGTTGTCCTCCCCTCTTTCCCTTGTATCTCCAACTAAATCTCCCTCATCCTAGCGCTTGACTGCAACTCGGTCAAGGTATGATATGGTTGAGTTGGTACAAACTCTTGAAAATCCGCCTTGAGCATACCTAAGTATCACGACATCTGCACCTACTCGTAAGCGGCATACTATGGGAAAAAAGGGCTCT